GCCGGGCATCCATGGCTGCTAAGAACGAACGCCGGAAATCAGACTTCCTCGCCCCTCCAACGCAGGCAACGCCCAAGCCAGCACCAGTCGAGAACGCCCCAGCGAACAACGCTACGCCCGTTACTTTCGATACCATTAAGAATACATTCCCATCACCGGCGACGACCGACAGCCCCGCCCAGAATAACGTCACTTCCCGGTCATTCTTCATGCCTGACATCTCCCACCTCAATGACTTTATCTCTGGAAACCTCCGTTTCGACGGCGCGGTAAAGAACGGCGTGCCTGTCTTTGTGAAGAATGGCCGCGTTCGTGATCGCGCCGAGACCCTGCCGCCCAGGGATCATGCTGAGGTTGGCGGTCTGGCGATTCCCGAGGATGAGGAGAAGATGTTTGTATCCCTGGATATGATCCGGGACGAGATTTGCAATCTCCAAGAGCATGACGACCTGGTGCAGAGACATGCGCTGGATCTCGAGGACCAGGTGGGCCATCTGCAAAGCGAGCTCAAGCGATTGAAGGGCCGTAAGGCGAATGATAGTGCCCTCGGCTCTCGGACAGAGTCGGAGCCTGAGACTGCCGCCAACGAGCGGTACAACACTGAGAGGACACGTAAGTAGGTCCGATTCTAGGACGAGACGGAAGACTAACCAGACGTAGATATCGAGTCCCAGTTGACGGCCCTCCAATCCCGGCTTGACCAAGCGACCACCCGAATCGGCATTAGCGAGGTTGAGAACAACACTTTGTCACTTGAGAGAGATCGGGCCTTGAAGAAGCTCTCAGAAGCTTGCGTCAACATTGGCGAACTGATGGACAAGATTGAGATGCAAGGCAAGGAGCTTCATGAGACACAGGAGAAGCTCAACGCCACCCTGGAGATCAACCACAACCGAGAAACCATCCAGAAAACGTCGAGCTTCAAGCACAGCAACGACGTCTTGCAAGTGGACAACAAGTCCCTTCAGGCAGACAACCAGACCCTTCGCAGAGAACAATATTCTTTGCAACAAGAGCTGGAGGAGGTGCGAAAGGACAACAACATCTTGCGCCGAGACCACGAGTCTCTCATAGAGGATAACAGGTCGCTGCGCAACAACAACCGGTCACTCAGAAGTGAGATCGACGAACTTCGTCAAATTGCCGAGAACTCCAAGGAAGACATCCAAGCTGCTCATGAGGAGGTTGAGGCTTTGCAGGTAGAACTTCAGACTCTTGATCAGGAGAAGGGTATTCTCAAGGAGGACAACGATAGCCTCGTTCGCCACAACGAAAAATACTTTACCGAGAACAAGCTTCTCCGCCGCGAAAACTCGGGCTTCGAGAAGAGCATCCACGATCTTCACGACGAGAACATGCGCCTCAAGGAAGAAATTGAGTTACTCAAACAGCAACTTGACCACTGTCGCCCTCTGGGTAAGACCGAGGAGTTCTCCGCGCGCCTTGACAAGAACAAGGAAGTGGAGGACGATGAAGAAGAGGAAGAGGAGGAGGAGGAAAACATGACCTCGGCATTCTTCATGCCTGACATTACGATTGACAGCACGCAGAACTCGAGAGTCATCGACATGACTGGCGAAAAGGAGACACCGAGACGTGCTACTCCTAGCAAGAGGACTCTTGAGATCACCGAGACGACGGAGCAGACAGACCGCAGTATCAACGACCAGGACACTTTCCAGAGCCAGCAGAGCTCAGTCGCCGAGTCTCGTCCCAAGATGCGCCCGTCCACGTCTCGTGCCAGGAGCTCTTCGAGCCAAGGCCAGAAGGTCGCCTTCTCTCTGCCTGATCGATCTGCATCGACCAGCAAAACCTCCAAGGCCTCGAATGTCGCGAACAAGGGCAGCAAGAGGAGCAGCAACTCTCGCATCACCTCCAAGAGTTCCCTCAAGAACGGCTCTGTCCCCGACCTGGATCCCTTCCAGGCAGACGATGAAGACAACATGCAATCGCCCGAACACACTCAAACTCAATCCATTGTTCTCGATGTGAAGAGCCGGAAGGAGGGTTCCTCGAAGTCTCGTACTGTTCGCCAGGAGACGACGAACACCACACGCAACTTGACCAGCCAGAGCCAGAAGAGCGTGTCGGCTAAGTCTTCCGCCAAGCCCTCTCAGAGCAAGTCGACGACAATCGACCTGATCACCCAAGGCGGACTGGACAACACGACCACCGAAATCAAGGGCAACTGCCCTGGTCTGTCGTCTGATGCGCGCCGTGTTCTGGACAGCTTGTCGGGACATAGCTGCACCAACTGCATTGTTTGCACCCGCATCAAGGCTCACCGAGGAACGGTTACTGCGGCCGATATCGCCGAGGGCAAGAAGCGCATCAAGATTTCCCGGCCAGTTCCTCCCTCGGAACAGTACAAGCAGTTGGGCATGTCAACAGAGGACAACACTGTACGACCCTCTCAGGCCCCTGGACACGCTCTGGCAAAGGTCATCAAGGGACTGGAGGATGAATTGGAGCACATGAAGATGGACAGGGCGAAGAAGCAAGCTCGATACGACGGCCACAACCCCGCCCTCAGCGAGACCAAGCGCAAGCAGTTGTACGCAGATATCAAGGTCATGATGACGACCGAGGAGGTCAAGAAGGGCCAGATTTACGCCCTCTACGACGTTTTGGAGGGTCAGAAGCAGGTCGGGCAGGACATGTCAGATGAAGAGCTCGACGTGACCGTATTTAGCATTACAGGACTGAGCGTCAGAGAGATTACGGAGCAGATTACTTGGGAGGGCATTCAGGGATAGGAGCCTGGCTGTGCTTGAGGCTTCCTTTTGGCGTTAATGGGTTTCATTGTACGGCATCATGACATTGATCGCAGAAGGAGTAGGACTTGGCCGGAGATTGTAAAAAAGGTTGTTTATCGTTCGGTTTTATCGCGTTTGGACCGCGTTGTATATCTAGGCCCTTTGGCACAAGAGGTCGTTTGTGGACAGGAATTATACCCCGGGTCAGAAACACGCAGCGCTTATGAATCATTGTTGCCTTGTGGAACGCAGTGAAACATGTGCTCAAGTAGGCCATAAAGGTATGGCTGCGAGGCCACGTTTGCCTGCAGACTTTGCATGACCCATCAATGGCCTCAATTCGTGACCTTGTGCAACGGGCGACGAGGTAGGGAGACACGCCTGCAAGAATGCGAGGTGACGCTTGCGTGACTCGGCTAGGTACAGAATGCCCTGGGATTTACGTCAGGAATTGAGGCGCGTCAGGACCCAGAAGACGTTCTTCATCGACCAGGTAACGAACGACCTGACGCGCTGCCCTGGACGCGTATGCCTGGGGAGACCCGCGGCGTCACCTCGCGGTTTCTTCTCGTAGGCGCGCTCGAACGTAGGAAAGAGTTCGTGGAGACGCCAGTCGCGCTGTCTGAGAAAAATTATCGTCACAGGTCACGACACTCTTTGCCTCCAGCTAGTTTAGCTTCAGCATTTTTGCGTTGTGGCCGTCTGAATCATACAGCCTACCTACATAAAGCACCGGCGCGAGGGTTCCCAAGTAGGCAGGGACGACGCCATGGAAGGCAAGGGCTACGTGAGGGCTGCCATCACAGGGATGAGGCCAGATTTTTATTAGGACGATTAGTTCGCATGAATGATGGATGAGAAGGCAAGCTCTTCTTCATACCGCCGCGCAAAGGCGACGAGCACAATGAAAAGTGGTTTCCAATTTGGAAGAATATATCAAAAATTGCACCCACGATGGCCCCGAAGGGCAATCGAGAGAGGTCGACTCCGCGATGTGCAATGCAGGCCTCCCTCTCTGCCGCCCGGATTTCTTGATCCCCAGACGGCCAGATAAGGTAAGTATGAAGGGAAAAAAGAGAGGAAAAGAAGTCTGAAAAGATGGGAGACTGGCGATGTTTATATAGACTTGATGGGGCGGTAGGTGGAGGCAGAATGGGCGCGATCACCTTGTGGGGCGGTGGTCGTGTAGTGGAGATAATCTGGACTCTTTTGATTGGTTGGGTGGCGAAGGTGATTTGACTTCTGCTCACAGGTTGTTGGGCAGACAACGGAGCCGAACGTCCAGGTTGTGATGAACTGAGATTTCCTTTCGCCATGTCATCCTCTCATGTGTGATTCAAGCTGCCGGTGACATATATTATCCGAACTCACAATCCCATATTGGTCTTACATTTCCAGGACCTTGGCTTCAACAGAGGTTCAAGTGAGATGATTGCCGGTCCAAAGGACTCTCCGGTTAAGTCATCAACTTCGGCGAGGCACATGCTCTTCTTCCGTTTCGATACTTGCTGTTTCCAATAATGAGATTATTGGCACTGCACTTTAAGCTATCCGCGATTATTGTTGCCTCATTTCATATCCCCTTCGCTTCAACCTCAATCCTGTTTTGTCAACCACGGATTCGAATCTTACTGTTCGTCCATCAAAGGCTTGTATGTCTAGTCCAGATTCACAAACACCAGAGATGCTGATATCGAGTCAGCTGCCTCCGACACACAAGAGTCCCGCGAGCGCGGCGACGCTTGTCCGCAAGTCTATAGCTTACTTGATCTAGATAGCAGCTCTGGGTCAACTCAAAACGCCCCACAGAGAATGAGTACACATGTAACCACAAGTTCATTACCTGCTCTCGTAACTCCGCCTCTGACTCTGTTGCTGGTTTTTCCCCTGTCGCTGGTCTCATTCCTAAACTTTTCTAATGTCCTCCTTCTGAGCATTACAATGTTACGAGCTCAGTAATGGCTAAAACACTATGCTATGCAGTAAAAACAATTACAGGGAAAATGGACACGCTGGGCCTACATAGGCCCTGGCATGGACTTCGATGCAGACTCCGCTCTTGCTCCTCGTACATGGATCAGTGCCAACCAAATGACTTCATCATTTGCATCTTTCAAGTCTATAGTCTTTTTTCCTCATGAAATTGGTTCAACTACCTTTGGTTTGCCTCTAGCGAGGCAAGCCACACTCCACTTTCTGTTCCGTTGCGTATTGCTCTTAATAAGTATTAAGCAATTTCATTCCCTAAACCATCAGGAAGGCGGGGGGAGGAGTGCTTCCAGTTTCTAGCGCCTGGAGCAATGTTTCGAAGTATGTTGGGTCCGAATTTCGCCACCAAGGAAGCTTTGCTAATTCCTTCTCGGCCCCGTTCTCCAGGCTTCCTATAACCATTCGCGCGGCGTCTGGATCCTCGGGCAGTCTCCCACCCGCTTGAATGAGATGCTCAAGTAGCTTTGCCGATCTAACGCTCTTCACTAAGCCCGTATGTGTGCCTCTCGCCGGCTTCATACTAGTGCTTGTCACTAAATTCATGCAGGCGTTCCCCACCACATTCATCCCGTTGCGGTCCCTAGCATTGATTTGAGCTCCTCTGTTCACCAGCAACTCGATTTTGATCAATCTGGCGTAGCCGAGATCGCTCCAGGAAGATTCGCAAAGCAATGCCGTCCTTCCAGAGGAGTCTCTGGCTTCCGTGTTAGCCCCATTATCCATCAGGATCTCAGCCACGGTCGCATTGCACCCGAAAAGTGATGTCTGCCCGTGGGAATCTGCAGCATTGACGTCTGCACCTCTTTCGATCAGCAACTTGATTTTGCGCAGTTCAAGATTATCGGAGAAACATTCGCGAAGTAATGCTGTCTTTCCAGAGGAGTCTCTGGCTTCCGTGTTGGCCCCATTATCCATCAGGATCTCAGCCACGATCGCATTGCACCCGAAAAGTGATGTCTGCCCGTGGAAATCTGCAGCATTGACGTCTGCTCCTCTTTCGACCAGCAACTTGATTTTGCGCAGTTCAGGATTATCGGAGAAACATTCGCGAAGTAATGCTGTCCTTCCAGAGGAGTCTCTAGCTTCGATATCAGCTCCATTTTCCGTCAAGATCTTGGCTACAGCTGTATTGCACCCGAAAAGTGCAGTCTGCCCTTTCTGATCTTTAGCATTCACGTCCGCTCCACTCTCTATCAGAAGATGGGCAACTGTATGGTCGCATTGGAATAGTCCATTTTGACCGCGCATGTCTACAGCCCTGGCGTCTGCCCCACCGCCAAGCAGGATTTCGACCATTTCGACACAGCCAGGCTTTTCACAATAAGACAATAAGGCTTTGTTCCTCGACCAAGTGGATGTACTTTTGTCGAGCAATAGTTTGAGAATGGTTTTGTCTTTGCCGGCCGCAGTCAAGACCGGATTGGAACTTGCACCCGCGTCAAGCAACAATTCGAGAATTTGATGACGTCCTTCCTGGCAAGTAATGAATAAGGCGTCTCTGTTGTCTGCATTCGCACCCTTGGCGAGTAGCACTGCAACAATATCAGACCATCCTCGTGAACAAGCTTCGGTCAAAGCATGTCGATTGCTAACATCTACACCTCTGTCAAGCAAGAGCTTGGCAATGCTTGCATCGCTGTGTCGCATAGCTGAATATAATGCTCCGTTGTTCTTTGTATCCGCGCCGCTGGCGAGCAAGATCTTAACCATTCTCACATCGGCACGGCGGCAGGACGCATTGAGACCGTAGCTGGCATCTGCGCCCCGTTGGAGCAAGAGTTCCACCATTCTCAGATCACCACGATTGCAGGATGCAACCAAACCGTTGCTGGCATCTGCGCCCCTATCGAGCAAGAGTTTGACAGTGTTGAAGTGATTGTTTTGGCAGGCTGCCTCCAAAGCTCCAACGGAATTTGCATCGGCCCCTTTATCGAGCAAGAGCTTGACAATAGACCGGTCTCCACGTCGGCAGGATGTCAATAACCCATTGCTGTTGTTCGCGTCTGCGCCCTTACTGAGTAAGAGTTTCATGGCATCTGAATTCCCATTGCGGCACGCGATGTTGAAAGCTTCCTCATAGGTTGCATCCGCGCCATTATCGAGCAAAAGTTTGAGAATGCCCACGTGTCCCCATTCGCAAGCTGCAACCAAATCTGCATGGCTTCTGGAATTCGCACCCTTCTCAAGCATGAGCTCTACAATGTCATGTCGATGATGCTTAATGGCGCTGGAAATGACAGTAGCATCTTCGAGACCCTGGAAATCGTCGATGTCTGCGCCATTCAAAACCAGGAGCTTAGCAATGTCGTGGTAACCGTAGTGCAATGCTCTAGACAGTTCATTCTTTGCACCAGGTCCCTGGATGCCATTGGCTTCCGCTCCTTTCTCAAGAAGGTGCTCAACCATGCCTGCATCTTGATTGCTGATGGCACTGAAAAGTGCAGTGGCTTCGTATGGTCCTTGACTGCCATTCACGCTCACACCTTTCTCGATCAAAAGCCTGGCAATTGATGGATATCCAAGGTCCAAGGCGGTGAAAAGTGGAGTTTGGCCATCCGAGCCCTGTACGCCATGAATGTTCGCCCCTCTTTCGATCAATAGTCTCGCAACATCGGTGTACCCGATCTGCAGCGCACTGGCTAGAGCAGACTTTTGCTTTGGGAGAAGCTGATGCCCATGAACACCCTTAATGCCCAATCCTTTCTGGATCAACTGCGTTGCAGTGTTCCTGTTTCCTGTCTCTATAGCACATACTAGAGCCAGCTGTTGTTGAGTCGTTGAAATATGATCGATGTCTACGCTCTTGTCGGCAAGTAGCTTAACAATGGCGCTGTGCTGATGTCTCGTGGCCAATATCAGTGCAACCTCTAGCTGATGTCCCTGAATGGTCTTATTTCGTACTCCGTCAACCATCAAACCTCTTACTTTGATCAGCTCTCCGCGGCTGCAGGAGGCATAAAGCTGCTCTTCATGGTTCGCGTTGGCGCCAGAAGTTAATACAGCTTTGTTAACAAGGAATTGGGCCATTCGATTATGGAGAGCAACCTGTAATGGCGCTTTCCCAAAGTCGCTTCCGGCGTTCAGAAGCGCGCCATTGTCAAGCAAGAGATTAGCGAGCTCCGTGTTACTGCCCCTAGCAGCTATGCTCAGCGGAGTTTGACCTTTCTCATCTTGGGAGTCAACTTTAGCTCCACGTTTAAGGAGAATCTGCGCCACGTCGAACCGATCGAAGGCTACTGCTTCATGCAAGAGGGTTCTGCCGCTCTTCCCCTTGGTGTTGATGCCACCCCCCTTGTCGAGTAGAAGTAGAACCGCGGACGGTTGGTTCGCAATCACTGCATTAATGAGTGGCGTCCTTCGGTTGGAGTCCTCCCGATCTACTTCTGCGCCATGGTCAAGCAAAATTTCCATAACGTTAGTTTTTCCTCTCCGAGCTACATAATGTAGCAACTCGTAATGTGAGGGGTGGGATAAGTCTGCGCCAGATTGAAACAAAAGTTTGACGAAGTTCGCTTTGCCTTCCATCACGGCATAGACCATCGGTGTATTCCCCGAAGGGTCTGGGGAATTGACCAAGATTTGATGTTGCAAGAAAAGACCAACGGCATTGTCGATGCCGTGATAGGCTGCCCATCCGATTCCTGACGTCGGGGTTTTGAGTGAAGATGCTGGCTGCATGAACGATGGCAGGCTTTCAAAAATCCCGTCCTCACGTAAGAGAAACCTTACCACGTCCTCGCAAAGAAAGTCTCCTTGGGCCGCGTGGTAGCCCCATCCGTGTGATGCGTAAGACAATAAAAAGAATGCCCTCCTGGCTGTGCTCCGGGAGACACGACGGCTATTGACGGTTCGGTAGACAAAAGAGATGTATTTGACACAGATGCTTGAGATCATGACGTGGTCGTGTGCGAAGTATCTCTCTCTCGTCCTCTCAAAATATTCTTGAGTAGTATAATGGACGAGACGGATGATGTTGCTCGTGTCTTCGACAGTTACAAGCCCTGCGCAGACTGAAACCATGACTTTAACGTCGCGAAAATTGTCATGATCAAGATCTTCATGGTCCTTCGCTACAGCGAGAGCATCTTGGAGCTCCTCAGCCGTAAGAGGGCGTTTGGCATGCGTGATCCACGAGATCACTCGTGTACCAAGGTCTCGGCGATTTTGTGTTTGACCTCGAATCCTGTGCATGGCTTCTTCATAAGCCTGGTCGTATACATTTGACAGTTGTTGCCTGTTTCCAACTTTATTAAAGCTTTTGCGTTTGAATCTGTCAAGGGCTGATAAGATTTCTCTAGTGCATGTAGTGTCTTTCAGAGACTCTAGGTAGAGTTGTGCAAGAAGGAACCTGGCTTAATATTAGAACAATCTTCTTCATTGAAGGGGAAAACTCACATCCCGTCGACAGCTGTCGCGATTTCATTCGTGATTCTGTCCTCAAGAATGCCTGTGATGTACACCGGAATTTGAAACAGCTGATGACGAACATAACGATGGATATCTTCACTTGCAGCTCTAATCTCGCAGATGAGAGAATCACGAAATCTTTCTTCTATCTCAGGAACGGGTCTTGATGTAAAAAATAACTTGAGCGTCGCCGGAGTCTTCTTCTGAAGGTCGACTAAGACAGACAGAAGAGCGAAGCGACTCTCGGCATCGCATTCATCAAGTGCGTCAACAAGGACAAATACTGTCGAAAAAGATCCTAAAATAGAGGTCAGAACATCTGAAAGGTCGAGCGCCGAAGGTATTGTCCCATTGCGTTTGTTTTCCTCGTACAGCTTAGTAACACTATCGGGGTTCTGCGCAAGAGCTCGAGCGGTTTGCTTGATCAAGCTTGACAGGAAGTGTTCAACAGTTTGAACCTCCTTCCTTCGAAAATTGCAATATACATAGGCGGTAACGGTCATTTCACTTGGCACATAACGTCTTGTGATGTCGTCGACAACAGCTGACATGAGTATCGTCTTCCCTGCGCCAGGAATCCCAGGGCAAAATAGGGTTCGATGATTCGACTTCGGCTTCGAGTTGAGCCACGTGCGGTACGTTTCTGATTGAAGAAACCACTCCCCAGTCCCAGACTGTTTTCTTCTGAGAAAGTCACTTTGCTGAAGTCCATATTCGATGGGAGTCAGCCATTGAAGCACTGTCTCATCTTCGCCTCGTTTTGCTTGAATGCTCAGTTTCGTTACCTCACTTTTGGTGGCCAAGGTGGTGGACTGAACTATTACTGACGTCAGTCTTTTCAGGACATGGAATTATTTGGAGGGAAATAACTGACTGCCTGCTAAGTTCTCTTGCAATTCTTGAGAAAGCTTTTCCAGCACCGTTCTCTCACTGGCAACCTCCACTGGTGGCACGTTTTCCAGCAGCTCCTTTGTTAAGGCGGCAGCGACAGCAGCTGCATGCTCCTGCCAGGCCTTGTTCTTATGAGAGTCGGCATAATCGCAAATGCCACGAATAACCAGGCATGGGAAATCGGCTAGCAGACCGGCCGCTTCCATTTCTATGCATAGAGCGTTGCCGTCGAGATTCTTATTGATAGCGTCCCGGTAGGTAGCATCCTTGATAACCTGGTTTCCAGAAGCAATCAGGCCGTAGTGGACAACGGGTTCGCCGACTTCTCTTTTCTTTGCTTTCGAACGATCGCAGTACAAGCAGTCGGCACCTCCCGGCAAAGACTCCTGAAATTCCCCAGTAGTTGAAGTTGGACTGGGGTTCAAAGGGTAATCAAGATGGCTGTAGCTCGCAGAGAATAAGAAATCCTCCAGCTTGTCGGATCTGGCATATTTGGTCTTCAACCGTGGCCATTTCTTGAACATGATGTCGAGATTTTCTCGAATCTTTGACCCTTCCATCTCGTGATCGCTTTCCATCTTGGAGAGGGCAGTGAGCAGGAACGTGGGCGGGTTGTTTAGTGAGCCAGTCCTTTCAAATTTGCCGTCTTTCGTCTTCCCGAAGTCCCACTGAACAACGCCGGGATACTGTCCTGTCGGGGTACTGACTACAACGTCACCGAGCCTGACATCGTTCGCCTCAGACGGAACACCGCCTCCAATGCCGACCATGAGGACGAACTTGATGTTTCGAAACGTCGAGGTCATACTTGTCGCAACTTTTGAGGCCCTGATAACGCTTAGCTGACCTTTGGGAAGGCATGCTATGACGATGTTGTGTCTGCCGATTGAGCCTAGGGTGTACGTGTTGGTGTCGTTGGTTGCCTTACGAATGTGAACATCCCGATACTCTTCATCCAGCATCGCTCTCGCAGCCGTCTGCTCTTTTGGAAGAGCACAGACCCATCCTATGGTGTATCGGTCGCAGTCAGTCTTGTTCTCAACTTTTGTTCTCTTGTCCTGTTCTTCGGCGTTTTCGTCATCGTGCCGGCGTTCTTTCTTGGGGCCCTGCTCTTCCATGCTGCTTTCCAGACAAAAAGGCTCTCAAAGCGATAGGAAGAAGGCGAAAAACCCAGGACTTTACAGTTGCCAACGTCTGGGGCTGGTGAACCTGTAAGAGGAAGCCACGGATTTGATGGGCGACGAGCTTAAGATGTGCAAAATGAAACAGAACTCAAATTTCTGTTTCTGAAAGTTCGTAGTTTATCTTGCAGCCTGATTTTCTGAGAAACGAGGGGTCAGTATACAGCCTGATGTAGCTATGATTGAAGCCTGCTGAGTGACTGCAGATTGATTGGTTTCTGCAGCACTCATTTGCGTTTGCCCTTGCTGAAACCCCTATAAATATGGGATTTTTAGGTTTTAGCTATACTACTACTCTAAACGTTAGTTAGTATTATTGTTTTTATCGTTTTTAATTAGTTTATTAGTAATTAATACTATTCGTATTAATTTGTTTATATTTTAATATTATTTATAGTTTTAAAAACTTTATAAAACGTAGTATATATATTTAGAAATAAGATCTTATTATATATAATAAGACTAATTTATAGGTTTTTATAAGCCTAAACTTTATTAGATATACTATAAAATCTAATATAGTATAAAAGTATAATATATATATGTATATATTAATATAATATATAATTAACTATATAATAGCTATAAAGAAGTTATTCTCTTTTTTACTAGCTTTTAGAAAAATTAAGCTAAAGTTTATAACGCTTTAGTGCACTTAATTAAACCTAAAATATATTCTTTTTAAGAAATTAGATTAATTTTAGTTACTAATATTTATAAAGTTATCTATAAAATTAATAACTACTAGAAATAGATATAGAAATATATCTTTATATAATAAAAGTTTTATAGGTTTACTACTAATAAAAGTAAATATAAGCTTATATAGCTATACTTAAAAGAATAATAATATTTATAGGCTAATTAGAATTTAAACTTATATATTTTTAAATAAACTATATATGGTTTTTATAAACTAAGTTCTAAATACTTCTCTAATTAAAACACTAAATAATAAGAATAATATTAATATAGAAAATAACATAGATTAAAAAGAGAAAGTTAATAATAAAGCTAAAAAAAGAAAATATTTATTTAGCGTGAGATAATTAATATAATAAGCTTAGAAAACTTTAAAAAAAAATTTAAAAAAAAAGAGGAAGTTAATTTATATTAAGAAAGGCTTATTTTTAATACTATTAAAAAACTTTTTAACTTTAAAGAACTTATCTTATTACTTAAAATTTATTAATTTAAAATTTTTATTTTATTTAAAGTTATATTTCTTTTTAAGTTTAAATTAAAATTTATCCTAAACGTCTATATTTATATATTTAAAACCTATAATTTTATTATTAAGCTGATATTATAGTTTGATAATAATATTATAAAATAACTACTAAAAAGTTTAATTATTTATATAGAAATTACTAAGTTATTTTTAAAGATATAAACTTATTTTATAAATCTAAGTAGAGTATAGTTTTAGGGGAAATCTTAAATAATACTTATTAACTTATTAATAATACTTTATATACTAAGATTAACTTATTAATATTATTGCTAAAGATACTAAGATAAAGAAATAATTAAAGCTAATAATAAATATAACTAGTTTAAAGTATTTATTATAAGATTATATATTTATTATAGTTATTGATTAATAATAAGCTAGAATATTATTAATACTACTCTTTTAACGCTTTACATTACTATCTTAATACTCTATACGTTTTATAATTAAATAGAGTATTTTAGTTTAATAAATAGTATTCTCTATATTTAAAATATTTTAATCTATGTTTAATATACTTCCTTTTATAATGTTAACTTTATAAATAGTATAATTAGATAATAATAATTATAATATTATATTAGATTAATTAATATTATTTAAGGTGTAGTTTAAGTAATATAATATATAATTTATATTAATTTAATAGTTTAACTTAATATTAATAGAACTTTATATATAGAAGTAATAAATGTAAGCTACTTATTTAGAATTATAATATAAATAAAAGTATTTATTTACCTCTAAATATAATTACTACCTAAATAGTAATAATAAGTATTATTACTATATTAATAGAAATATAAACCTTAAATATTATTAAATATCTAAAGATATTATAGCTAAATAGATATTAGAAATTATAAATAATAATATTATTATTGAAAAACTATTAGCTTTAATACTTAAGATCATTAAAACTTTAGCTAATAAGAGGAAGATAACAAAAGAAACTATATTAATAAGTAGAATAGTATTAAATATAATATTAAATAATTAAATAACTTAAAATAATATTCTTTAAGTATTATTAGCTAGAAATAAACTTTACTTTACAAATTAGATTAATATATTACTATTTTATATATTATATATATAATAGTAATATTTATATTAGCAGTCTAGTTAACCCATATAAGTAAGTATCACAGTTCACTTGATACTTTTTTTTAATAATACTGAAACCTAATAGCAGCACTTTAACTTATACCTAATCTTAATAAAGCAAATAAATAAATCTTAATATAACTAGTTATAAACGCTTAGCTTAACTTATCTCTAGTTCTATATGTTAACATATAACATTCTTTTATAATAATAATAATAATATAAGAATAATAATAACGCTAAACTTACTTTAATATTCTATATAAAATAAACTAATAAAGTTTAAGGTATAGAACCTTATATAAATATACTTGATTTATTATAACTTATAACTATAATATTGATTATGTAATACGTATAGTTACGTAAGCACCTTATGTAATTAGCAGTTTAGCAGGTTACGTTTCAGGTTATCTTTCCCCTCACTTTTCCCTACTAGAGGATGCAACCTGCGAACAACAACAACCAGACTCATCACAATACATCTGTTCCCTTATTCTTATCTATACAATTAAATGCTCATAAATGCTCAGAATTATTACCTTTTATCATAACATTACCACATCTATAACCTTATACTATATAGGCGCATATACTACGCCCCTGTATACGCTTATACCTGTGCTAACACTATAGAAAAAGGTAGATAGGCAGATAGTAGAGTAGCAAAATATACTAATAAGAGTATTATTTATAATACTATTATTAGAACGTTAATAATATTTAGCTAAAACTTAGCAATAGCTTAAACTTATACTTAAGAGTGTAAACTTAATAGTATAGCTTTTTACTACTATAGCTAAAAAGGTTCTTATAGCTATAGTGTAAGAACTTAACTATTTAAATGAGGCTTTAAGCTTATTCTTTATATCCTCTTATATGTATAATAACTTTATATAATATCTTTCCCCCTTATTATACCTATATATAGGCTAAATAAGGCTACCCTAGATAACTTAATCTATAAGACTAAAACGAATAAAATTAAAGGCTCTAAATATAGTAACTTTCTCTATATTAATAAAAAGACTCTATTTAAATTTATTTAGAAGTGTTTACTTAAGATAGCTAGTTAATAAAAAATATTAAAGTTATATAGCTTTAAAGTTAATATAAGAATAATCAAAGCTATTAATAACGATCTTAATACCTATAAATACCTCACAAACTTCTTTAAAATAGCTAAAATAGCTTAAGAGGTTAATAAGTTAGAAAGAGTGAATCTAATATTAAGAGTATAGCTAATAGTAGTAGGGCTATTAAGACTGCATAGCAGGGCGGAAGATATTATTTATAGTATAGACGTCTGAATAGTAGAGGAGAGAAGGGTGGGTGCAGCTTAGAGGAGCAGGAGATAAAGGAGACTAATAGAGATAGAGGCGGCTAGAAGAAGACGGTTAAGGCTTATTATAATGGTTGAAGTCTGATAGAGGAGCGTGGAGGCGAAGAATATATCTAAGTCTAAAAGTTATATAACCTAAAGGTTATTAGTAGAAGGTGAGGAGACTAGTCTAGCTGTTGTAGTTAATACTAGTTAAATTTCATAATATAAGGCTAGCAGCTTAAATTAGTATTTATAGCTATATTATTAAGTTTTTTATTAGTTTTATTATTTATTTTTATAAAGTTTTCTATAGAGGCTTTAATATTATTACAAATAAAAGCTAACATTTCTCTAGTTATACTTTATTTCAAAGTATTAATTCTATTATTATTACTAGTTATACCTAAAGATAAGCCTACTTTTAATCTTATTTTATAATACTTTAAATAGCTATAAAAAATATTATTTAATATTATAAAAAAGAATATAATTTTCTATTAGTTATTAATAAATATTAAAGATAAAGTAGTTAATATCTATTAACTTTAAGAACTAAATATAGAATAATTTAAAAACCTTAAAATTTTATGAAGTTTTATATGTATAATTAAAAATAAAATTAAATAGTTTTTAAGTAATATAGAGGTTATAAAGTAACATATTAATTTTATATCTAGATTTAATAAATTAAACATAGCTTTATAAAAAGATTTAACTAATATATTTATATATAGACTTTTAATATAAACTAAAAAGTAGTCTATTTTATAAAAATAAAAAGTAAACGCTTAAGAATAATAAGTTAAAAGAGTAAAGATTTTAATAATAAAGCTAATAATATATAACTAGTTTAGATTTATTTTATTTATTTATTTATTATTTTTAATAATTAGATTTATATATAATATATTTAACTAGCTAATATATATATAGAAATAGAGAGATATAAAAAGTAATATATTATTAACTTTATTAAGAATATTTAATAAATTATTCTAAAAACAGTTATTTAAGTCTAATATTATTACTAAATTAGATTTATAGGTCTTTTTAACTACTAATGCTAATATTTACTCTAAAGAACTGTGTTTAGCTTTTTAATATATTCTTATATTACTTAAAGCTATATAAAATATATACTAAATAGATATATAAAGCTATATTATAAGTTCTTTTTTGATTCTTTAGTAAATATTATTTTAATCTTTTATAATAATAATATAAACTTTTTATTAGTTAATTAATACAAAGTGAAATAACTAACTAATACCT